TAGTGATGCTTCCTAAGGCCCACTTGACTTCACATTCCAGGATGTCTGGCTCTAGGTGTGTGTGAGTGATCACACCATCGTGATTATCTGGGTCGTGAAGATCTTTTTTGCATAGTTCTTCTGTGTATTCTTGCCACCTCTTAATATCTTCTGCTTCTGTTAGGTCCATACTGTTTCTGTTCTTTATTGTGCCCACCTTTGCATGAAATGTTCCCTTGGTATCTCTCATTTTCTTGAAGAGACCTCTAGTCTTTCCCATTCTATTGTTTCCTCTATTTTTTTTGTATTGATCACTGAGGAAGGCTTTCTTATCTTTCCTTGCTATTCTTTGGAACTCTGCAGTCAGGTGGATATGTCTTTCCTTTTCTCCTTTACCTTTAGCTTCTCTTCTCTCCTCTGCTAGCTGTAAGTCTTTCTCAGACAACCATTTTCCCTTTTGAATTTCTTTTTTGGGGGGATGGTTTTGATCACTGCCTCTTATATAGTGTTACAAACCTCTGTCCATAGTTTTTCAGGCACTCTATCAGGTCTAATCGCTTGAATATATTTGTCACTTCCAGTGTATAATCGTTAATGGGTTTGATTTAGGTCAAACCTGAATGGTCTAGTGGTTTTCCCTACTTTCTTTGATTTAAGTCTGAATTTGGCAATAAGGAGTTCATAATCTGGGTATGGTGCCTTACAAGAATTTTATGCAATTCATTATGGCTGTTGTAAATGGTCTGAAGTAGGGAATGGCTGGGATGCAAAATATAGGGCTGCAATATTTGTGTGCTAGGATCTAGACTCGAAGTCTCCTAACTAGCTAGGCTCTTATAATCCAACTAAGAAATGTTACATTTAGAAGATTTAGCAAACTGTCCAGATTTGAGAGACACCTGAAACATCAGGCTCTGTTGAAAGGTTTGTAAAATGAAGGATTGAATTGAAGAATTCAAGAAAGTCTCCTATCTTCCTGGATTACTGGTTAGACACTGGTGCCCTTCTACTAGACAGGGCAAAGAGGAAAGTTGGTAGGAGGGAACAGTGGGGACAAGACAATGGTGTAAAGAAAAGTACAGGTCAGGATATGTTGAGAGAGAAGTGACAGAGATTTTATGTGGAAATGAGATTTTAGAAAAGAGATCTGGGATGGAAATATGGAAATGTCCAAGTTTGGAGATTTCAGAAAAGAGATCTGGGATTCGGCAGTTACTATCATATACAGGGAGCTTCCCTTGTGGCTCAGCTGGTAAAGAATCCGCCCACAATGCAGGAGACATGGGTTCAATTCCTGGATTGGGAAGATCCCTTGGAGAAGGGAAAGGCTACCCACTCCAGTTTTCTGGCCTGCAGAATTCCATGGACTGTATAGTCCATGGGGTCACAGAATCTGCTGAAGGCATGAGAAGTGTATAGAATGAAAAAAATAGAGACTTGAAGGTCAAGCCTTGCAGAGAAGGGAAGTGGAATGAGGAAGGGGAATAGCAGCAAATGGATTAGGAGGAAACCCACCAGAAAATGTTGCCGCCAGAAACACGTGAGCCATGTAAGAAGGGCAAAGTACTACACAGGGTCAGAGATAGGGAGAGATCAGATGAGATGAGACTGAAAAGTTGCCTTTATATTTAGTAAGGAGGAGATCAATGATCACCTTTTCCAGGCCAGTTTGAGGGAGGTTGATTAGAGGAGGCAGAGACCAAATTGCTGAGTATTTGGGAGGTAAGCTGTAGTTGCTTGAGTATATGTGACTCCTCAGAGGATGGCTTGTGATAGAAATGAAAGACGTGCAAGTTAAAAGAAAAAGAATAATTTGCTTATGAAAAATTTTTAGTCATGTAACACTACAGTTGACAGTTTAAAAATTATTTAACGTCACTCTCTAATATTGTCATGGTTTTAATAGTAAATTTAGTTACTTTCAAAAATAATATATGCTATTAACATGAACTGGCTGAGCACAGATGCTTTCAGTAAAGTCTGTCTAAAAGAATGAGAATATATTAGATATGATTGTTGTGGTTGAAGTCAGATTAGGTTACTCTGGTTTCAGCTTCAGAAATTTCCTCATTAAAAACTTTCTTCTCTCCCTTAACTTTTTCCACAGTGCGAAACCCCGGTTGAATCATTTAAACCCTGTGAAGCACATCAAAACAAATTTCCTTATGCCAAGAAAGAATGTTCCATTTTGTACAGTGATGTTTTTGCTCCTTGTCGCAATATGGTAAGTGAGTACTTTATTAAACTTCCCGACTTAAACAAGTACTTCAGTGTCTTAATATTGCGATTAACTGGACAAATTATTTAAATGCCCATTGGTTTTTTAGGTGTACTACCTAACCCTTATTAGGAAGACCAATTTGGTAATTTGTTTTTCTGTAGAACTGGCACATTAGATGATTTACATTCTTCTTCATGCCATCTTATTAACAGAGTACATTTGTACATATTTGTTAATGGTCTTTTTCAGCTTACAAAACATTTTTATGTTCATTATCAAAGCTATAAATGCTTGGTTTTCTTCAGAGAACAACACCAAATTGCATTTTTCTCCTTAACCCAAAGTATAGTTTAAAATGATTATTAGTGGCACATTTAAAATACTTTTAGAAGCACATCCCAAAGATGGAATGTAATTTATTTAGAAATTAACTTTCTAAATGTCTTTCCAACATAACAATTTTAGGTCCCAATAGAAGTTTTAAAAGTAGTTTAAGATATTATTAAAAACAAAGTACATTTGGAAGCAGAACATTCTTTTAATGCCATGCAAATATGCCAATAATGAAACAATGAGCTTCTACAAAATATGAATCTGTTGTATTGAAGATATTGAAATTGTATTTGTCAGTCCTATTCCCTGTTTTGCTAGTTCTTTGATCTTACATTTGCCTAATAAATTCTTTTGGGCAAATAGAGGTTTGAGATATTTAGAACTCTCTAGGTGGCAGTGTTAAGCTGATTATAGCAAATTTTGAAAATCTACCAGTTTTCTTTTAGAAGGCTGAATTTTAATCAACTGTAGTTAGTACATTTTGAAATTAATTTATCTTTTACTTCATTGCAGATTGATGTCACTTCCTTTGCTAAAAATTGTCATGAAGACACGTGTAACTGTAACCTTGGTGGGGACTGTGAATGTTTATGCACAAGCGTGGCAGCATATGCGTACAAGTGTTGTCAGGAAGGGGTTTCTGTTCATTGGAGATCATCTACTGTTTGTTGTGAGTACCCTAATTAGAACATCATCATTAGGTGGGAAGCTTATGAGGAGATTCATGTTGTCTTATCTTAGAAGTGATACCATGGAACTCATGGACGTCAAATTTAAGATGAGTAAATTTTATATTCTTTTGACAAGGTATATAAATTGTAGTATAGCTAAAGGATTTATAAAAGAAACTTTGAAGTAAGTTTTTCTGTTCTGTGTTTGACTTATCACTGTAAATTTGCACTATGAATTATGTACCGTCCTTGGAGAAATTGTTTCTCTCTCTCTTATGACTATGAAATTCCACTGTTCTAGTGATGAGAAACATTGTTTTAAAAACATCATTTTGAATTTGTATTCAGATTTGACGTTTTAAACTTTTTGTTTACTCCTATAGATAGTACATCATCTGATAAACAGTTTATGATTTTAACACTTTCAGTGGACTATAGATTGGCTAATATATTTGCCTACTTATAAAATAATCTTAGGAAATTTAATAAATTATTACACAGTACTCTTAAAGAATCCTCTTAGCTCAGAGAAAATTCCCAAATAATGATGTCATTGAGTTATTTCATCTGGTTATTGGTAAATCATATTTTGTACATATTCAAGCTAAGTGGTCAGATTCTTATTTAGTTTAACATTTCTTCTTTTACCCTTTTAGCACTTGATTGTGACTACTACAATGAAGGTATGTGACATATAAAGAATATCAGGATACTATTTTATTAAATGTATCTTTGGATTCACAGTTTTTGAACAACTTTTCTGGGAACAAAGTATGAACAGTTCATAATTTGGCATAGTTAATCCTGGAACAATGTGGGGTTGAGGGCACTAACCCTCCACAATTGGTCACCCTCATATTCACAGTTCTACATTCTCGGATTCAACTGACCATGGATTGTACTGTTGTTCAGTTGCTTAAATTGTGTCTAACTCTTTTGTGACCCCATGGACTGTAGCCCACCAGGCTCCTCTGTCCATGGAATTTCCCAGGCTAGAATGCTGGCATGGGTTGCCTTTTCCTTCTCTAGAGGATCTTCCAACCCAGGAATCAAATCCATGTCTCCTGNAGAACCAATGCTGCTTTTTGTCAAACCTATTTGATGAGGAAGGCCTAGTCACTGAAACCTAATTCAGGCAAAAAAAGATGATCCAGGGAACTGTCTGTTTTATTAGTAACTGGGCAAAAATCCATGATGAATAGGTTAGATTAGCAGTTATAGGAGAGCTGACCCATTACAGAAAAAACTCAAACCAAATGAGCCAGGGAGAAATGTCAACTATAAAAGTACAAAGAAAGCCAGAAAATTTTAGTGAAATAGAGATGATATGTTAAAAAGAAAATGGACGATTTAGTCAGAGGAGCCTGCTGTGCTGTAGTCCACGGAGTCACAAAAAGTCAGACACAACTTAGTGACTGAACAACAAATCCCTAATAATAACAATAGTTTTTGTTGCATTAATGATATTTTTATCATATAAATTAAGCTTCAAAATATGCCTGAAAAGCATAACATTATAGTTAGTATCATTATTAACACTTTACAAAGGAAGAAATTGAGCGTAGATGAATGAAATAACTTGGTCCAAGTCATATAGCCAAAATGTGGTAAATGGGTTTATGAACAGTCTAAGTCCAAACCGATGAGCTTCATCTCTGTGCTGCACTGTCTGGTGATGGATAGCACGTCCCAGTCGAGGGGGGACCACAGCACATCTTTATCATGTGCTCTAACACATCGTGCAGACCGTAATAGGAGAAAATGCGCCAGTAACTCCCTCACTTAGGAATTCCTGCCTCATACAGCTCGGCTGTGAAAAATCTCCATCTGTGCCTTTATACTTCCTGGTGTTCCTTCTGCAGTCTCTTGGAAGCAGAAGCAGAATTTTCTATGAATACTGAATTTCTACCTCTTGCTGCTTCAGACGTACTGCTTTTTGTCAATTAATCTGGTGCATTTCTTTCTTCTAAGGTGTTACAAGATTCTTCAAATCAGTTCTTCTAGTTTCATTTGTTAACACTGTATTGGTACTATTCAGAGGGTGAGCAAGGGACATTTTCTTTCATGAGCGTCAAGAGATTCTGCTTCCTGTGATCAAAGTAATAGGCAATAGAGTCAACCTGCCAAGGAGAGGAAGAGATTGTGGGAGGAATGCGATGCCTAAGGTGGATAATTGAAGGGGAATGAAGAATTGTGGAAATTGTTGATACTAATAAAAATAAATCATTTAAAATGATTATCCTTAATTTGTTTCATCTCAATTTCACAACCATTGTAAAATTACCTAGTCTTTGCCCAGTCATAGCTGGTGTTTTCTCTGGACACTATGTTATTAAAATACTTAAATTATTCAAAACAAATGCAGAGATAAAAGACTGTGACTCTATAGGAGGAAATGTTTTTAAAAGTAGGAAACTTCAGAGGTTGCTGCTGAGATGAGTTTATAACCCTTCACACAGTGACTTTCTATAATAGTTTCATGTTCATTTTTATGAAATTTGCTAAAACTATAAAGGTTCTGTTGCTGCAAGGAGTAGAAGACTTCAATATTTTGCTAAAAATTGTTATATAAGTTTTTAAGTTCAGAGTGCTTTTATCAGATTGGATATACCGAATACTGTTTAAATAATCAATACAAGAAATGATTGCTTTTAGTATACAGAAATTATAATTCTCCTTACAGAAGATTAGTGATAAAGTCAATGACTTTTGCCCTCAGTTGCTAGTGAAAATGCAGGAAAACAATTCACATGCAAGATATCCATCAACTGGAAGTTGATTCAGAAGCTTTCATTTTTTATACAAATGGATTTCTCAGGTGACAATTATCTCTTCACATTGTTGTAGGAAGGCACTTGTCTTGTAGGGGAGAGAATATTTTGTTTAGTGGTCTGTCTCCTTTCTCCTATTCTCCTCTTGGACATCTGTGCCTGAGGGTGCTTGGAGCTCACAAGCTGTATTTGTATATGTCTTCTTCATTTTGAATTGTATTTCATAATTTATACATTTATGTACTCATTTGTACATTATTTACATATTCACACAAATCTATGTATTTATAAGTTTATGTATATTTTCTTCTTAAAATCTAAGTTACTTCTGTCTTTCCTAGAGAATGAACTTGTAGGTGGTGGAGATGATGATGTAGTTCTATTTGGATGTTATAGATATTAGCTCCCAGAGAAACTGTGCAGGGTCTACATTTGAAACAACTCCTAAAGTCTTCACTGTATCTGATCAGTTCCATCTTGGTGTGGGAGCAAAGATGTTCAAATCTCTATGTGTACTCAAGGTGTCTGAAAGTGAAAGTCGCTCAGTAGTGTCTGACTGTTGCGACCCCATGGACTGTAGCCTGTCAGGCACCTCTGTCCATTGAATTCTCCAGGTAAGAATTCTGAAGTGGGTTGCTATTTCTTTCTCCAAGGGAGCTTCACAACCCAGGGATTGAACCCAGGTCTCCCACACTGTAGGTGGATTTTTGACCATCTAAGCCCAACCGTGTCTGGGTCCTTACTAAAGCTCTTTCGTCATGGCTTAGAAGTGTTTCCAGCTCCTCAAAGTTGAAGTGTCTTGTTGATGAGTCAGTGGATGGGACAGTGCTTGAGAATAACTTGTTCTATAACCCCTTCTCCTGGCCCTTGTGATGGAAATTTTGGGTCTTGCTCTTCTTCCTGTTTGGGAGACTTTTAAACCCTCTAATTCAATTATCTTTTCCCCTTCTCTTATGCCTGGTCTTGGTCCTGAAAGGGGAAAAACCCAGGTGGTTGATTTCTTTGATTTTTTTCCCTTCCATCTTAAGGATAGGCTGGGAAAAGAAACTGTCCTTGAGATAAAAAGTGGAGAAAAGAGGAAAAATGAAATTCACTGAGGGCAACCAGATTGATCTTTTATGAAATCACCTACCACACCTATATTAGAATTTTATATAACCTACAACATAAATATCTAAATATAATTGTAAAAAGTACACAGCTAATAATTATGTTGTTAATTTGGATAATTCAGAAGAAACATCAAAATTTTATAGTACCTCACTTTTTTTAAAACATTAAACATCATAGATTGTGTTGAAGGTAAACTGACCTTGTTGTCATAAAACAATGCATAAGTTTATTTTGAATATCAGTGAGCTTTTAAAATAAATTATATGCTTTTCTTTATAAGATGAAGTTCTTAGAAATATTAGTTTGAGTTTCAGGTTTAGGTACATACTAACTAGTTTTTGTTTTTTTTTTTACTACAGTATTTTCCACTTTATATGAAATGATTTAATTGAATAGAAATGATAACATATATAAAATTACACTTGACTTCTCTGTTCAGCATCATCTTATTTTCTTCTCTATAGACATACCTCACTGATGAAATTCAATAATTCCCAAAACAGTAAAATATTATATATCATATCTGTGAATTCTGTTTTAATGCAATGAACCTACTAAGGAGAAATGATTTTTAGAAGACTAACAGAATGCCTTCCATTGATAGAACTAAACTTAAGTTTATGTACAGTAGAATCTTAAAATATCAAAGTGAAAGGTTGCCTAGACAAACATCTTCATAGAGGTGAGAAAATTTGAGGTCTAGAAATCTTAAGTCAACCTTTATTCATCACTGCTGTGTATTTGTGTATATATATAAACACACACACACATTCATATATATATATATATCCTAAAGCATATATTCTAGGGACCTCCCTGGTGATCCAGTGGTTAAGACTTTGCCTTTCAATGCAGGGGGTGCAGGTTCAATCCCTGGTCAGGAAGCTAAGATCCCACATGCCTCATGGCCCCAAACTCAAAACATAAAAACAACAGAAGCAATATTGTAACAAATTCAATAAAAACTTTAAAAAATGGTCCACATCAAAAGAAATAAATGACATGTTCTAAATACATATGTATATATTCCAGATCAATATAATGCATCCTTTTTAATAATTTTATTTACTCATTTATTTTTGGCTCTGCTGGGTCTTCACTGGTGTGCTGGCTTTTCTCTGGTGGAGAGCGGGAGTGTCTCTCGAGTTGCAATGTGTGGGCTTCTCACTGTGGTGTCACAGGCTCCAGGTGTCACGGGCTTCAGCAGTTGTGGTGTGTGAACTCAGTAACTGTGGCTCCAAGGCTCTAGAGCACAGGTTCGATAGCCGTGGCACATGGGCTTAGTCGCTCTGGGTCATGTGGGATCTCCCCAGACTAGGGATTGAACTCGTGGCTTCTGCATTGGCAGACAGATTCTTAACCACTGAGCAACCAGGGAAGCCCTGATATAGTCTTTTTGAAAAGAGTTCAGTTATTTTGTTCATGATAAATGTTTAAATGCTCAATGATTTTGGAGTACTTTTGTTATTAAAATTTATTCCATTGAAATGACAGCTTGAAATGTAAAACTCCTGTGCAAATTTATAATTTTCTCATTTGTATTTGACTAGGACTTGGAGAAGGACCATATATGCTGGCAAGTTATGGGCAGACTGGCCTTATTCTGGGAGCCAATATGACCAGTGGGAGCATTTTCTCTCTGCCAAGAAGTAGTATTCATGGCAATTTATTTTTTAATTTTATGATCACTCCAGGCCTTTTCAAAGAGAAGGCATCATGTAAGTAGAATTTGCAACAGAAAGTAATGATGTAGTTTTTCATTGACTCTTCATTTATACATGCAGTAAATATTAATTGGGGAATTTAATAGTTTATATCATCTTTCTAGGTGCTCTAAAGGATTTGAAATAAAATAAGACACTGGCACACGAACCAGCTCTCTCTTTTGTATATAAAATCATTTCTTTGTTAATCTATTGACATATATATAGATGCAATTAGAATTGCAATTATTTGGTTGGGTTTTTGGTCCTTGGTAAAGCACAGCTTCAATTTTCATTCTATTAGTCACAGAATTTAATTTGAAACTTTTGACTATTTTTAATAGTCTGCTGATAATTAACATGTGAAAGATTTTAATGCCAGATTAAAGAAAAGTCATAATTTAATATCAAGGAAGTTAAATTAAGAGCATAAATCAAGTCTAGACAGTCACTGAGACAGACTGTTATCCTTATGTGGCCTTGTCTGTCTTGGTACCTGGGCCCACATTTACTGGCTTGCCCCTGTAGATTTATACTGGTTGTAACCACTTGGCATCTGTTCTAACTGATGATTGGTGTCCCTTTCTGATGCATGATGTTCAGGGTACATTGTTACTATTCTAACCCTGCTTAGAACCATGCATGTTGTGTTCTATCAACATAGGAAATATTTATTGAATGAATGAATCTGACCTAACTTTTACTAATTTTGAGAACTCTCCTGATTTTCCAGTTAAAATAAATTGCTTTATTCTTGTAAAAAGAGCTCCTTTAGTTCTTTTAATCTGTGAAAACACCCATCACAGTCTAAGTTCTCGTTTATGTGTTAGTTATATATTTTTTCTTTTATAATTTTTAAATTCTTCTTTTCATATTCCAGGGCTCAGTAGAAGGGTTTGTAAATTTTAGGACACAATGAATTCTTTTTGAATCATTTATTGGACTTGAGAGAGCTCTTTATTGTATAATTTAAAATAATTAATGTTTTTAATAGAAAAATACTTAGGTTCAAATTAAGTAAGACCTAAAGAAATTAATGCCTAAGAAATTAAATCTAAGTGCTCAGTTAAGAAACTTATACTGTGGGTCTTATAAATGTAAGAGAAACTTTTAAAACACATAACAAAAAAGCGTGACACTGCTCAAAGGCTTTGTAGTTGTTCATTAGTTTTTTGATCATCTCTAGGGAAATAGACAATAAGGTTGAGTAAATAGTCATTTCTCAATGCAGTAAAATCACTTGAAAGAACATTTGCTCATTAAGAATTCAGTAATATTGAAATGCAGTGACATGTCTAAATTGATCTGTTTCTCTATTTCTTTTTCTTTTCTATCATCCAATTTAGCCATTTGTAGATTTTTCACATTTGAAAATGTTAAAGCTTGCAAGTGCAAATGTATGTCCAATTAATTATTCAACTATTTGTATGGAGTTGTACATTATAGGGTCCCAGGTTGACATTTCTTTTTTATTTTCCTCCATGAACATGATCAATTATTTTAAAAAATAGAACTTATGAAAGACTGTTATTTTTGGAGCTGTCACTCTTATGCATTGCCTTAAAATATTATTTTTGTCCTTTAGAGATCTGTAATTCATTCCTAAAATCTTTCAGAATGGCATTAATTATTCATGACAATTGTACAGTTCTGTTTTTGTCAACCTTATACATGAATTTTACAATGCCAGTGCTGATGATCCACCTTCTCCAGAGAGCCCAGGGAGTTGTCAAACAGACTGCTCTGTTTTCCAGCATTGGCACTTGTTTCTCTGGAATCTGCCGAAAGGCCCAACTACTTTCTCTGGGTCCACGATGATGACGCTCTTCGTTTGAAACTGTGGGAAGCGAATTCAGCCTTTCAGCGGAGAGCCACGTTTTTTCACCATCAGGACCTCTGGATTCCTGGTTACAGCGCTTTTGAGTTATACAACAAGAAAGGCTTTTTCATCGTATTGACAGATTCTAGTGCCAAAGCAGCAAAATATGATGACTCTGAAGAATTTAAGCATTTAAGTAGCTTCAGTGTGGAAGGTATGTGTCCTGAGATGTCCATGTATTAAGTAGATAATTTAAGGAGTGACAGAAAATATGTTAGATTTTTAACTTAAAAATTATTTTAATGTGTATAATTAGTAGTATGACCTTAGTGAGTTTCTTAACCTCCCTATCCTTAAGTTTACACATCTGTCTCATGGAAGAAATAATACCTACTTTATAGGGTTATTTTGCTATATAAGTTAATGTAGTAAATTGTTTAGAAAAGCCTTAAATGACATTATTTTTTATGATTGCCTCAATTTTTACTTTCAGTGCTGTCTGGGCTTTGGAAATAGAGCTTACCCTTGTCTTCTTCTTGTAGAGTTTTGTATCTACCTTTTCTTTCATAGAAGGCAACTTCTCACTTAGTCTGATTCTTAATGATAAAGACGATGTGTTTATCTCTTTGAATACTTCGAATACTTTGAATGTGTTCTTTGAATACTTCGGAGTCCAATTCTACTGACCTCTAGACTTTTCTGGTTCAGCAGAATCCCCGTCTTATTTCTAGAGATCCTTGCAGTTCTATAGCTATTGAATTTTCTAAATTTCAGAGAGGAATCCTCACTGCCTCACCCAGTGTTAAAAGTCATGCTTTATTTTCAAAACCTAGGAGCTCAATATTTGCCTTGAGTCTCCCAAACTTTTTCATTCTAACCAACTTTTCTAAGTAATTCTAAGAAAGCTAATCATTTGCTTTTTTTTGTTGTGGTTAAATTTCTATAAATCTCTTTGGATGTTAGAAAATTCAAACTGAGCTTCAAATTTTTGCCTATTGAATGGGGTTCCTGGTCTCATGAGAAAGAGTCACTGAAGTGTATACAATACTCTGTAGAGTAAGTGTGATGGTTTTACTTGAGTTTTATTAAAAGTTGAATTTTGCAAGCCTCTATTTCCCCTCCATTACACAAATCCACTCCATCATAACCAGACCCAGTGGCTCTACCTGAGCTTTGAACAACTGCAGTCAATGGCATCATCTGAATCTCAGAAACCCATCTTTGTGGGCTTCCCAAACTTAGGAGACACTCTGGGTTTATTCTAGTCTTGGAACCAATCCTCTTTTATGACCCATGATTCTAGTAACCCAGGTTTAACTATTATTTTAATAATGAGATGTATAAGTGCCTTCCCAAAAGCCTCATTTTCCTTCTCAAACCTTGGAATTAAATTCTATATCTTAAGTCCAAGTAACATAACCTGTTTCCTGAACATTCTGCCTTATGGAGTTCTCTTCTTCAGAGATAATCTTGGACTGCTGCAGAAGGACTGCTCTGTGATGGGGGAAAGGGAAAGTATTAGCTGAGTTTGCAGGAGAAAAAGTGTCCATTAAGGGAAGTTTTTGTAACTACGAGCATGTATTATTAAAATCAATTCATTCATTTGTGTCATCAGATAATACTTACCATGTGCAAGGCAATGAATTAAATTCTGTGGGAAGAACAAAGTTGGAGTGTTCTCCTTAAGCTTCATGTCAGGCAATATGTCTTTGTCTTGCCATTTTCCTAATTGAATTTGGCATGTCACTTGGCTCCTGTTAGCCCCAATTTCCTCATTTATAAAATGGAGATAATATTCACTCAACAGGGTTGTTGCAAGGATAAAATAGAATAACGGACAAAAAGCTATTTTGTAACAACTTAAATTCCAAATAATTGTGTGCTATTATCATATTACATAGATCAGTGAACACCAACAAAGCATAAATAAAGGAAGATGATTTAGAATTGTCCTTAGTCTCCTCCCACCTCTTGCTTTTTTAAATATTTGGAAGAAGAACTAACATTTTGATGTTCAACCTGAGCATGAAATGCCTTGATCACCAAGCGGTTACACTGTTTCCTGTCCCCCTCCCCACACCTGTGCCGCCACAGTATTATAATCAAAAAAGATTCAAACCCTGAAGGGTTTACTATTATAAATCACTACGTTCCAAGCTGCCCATTAAAAGTATACACAATCTAAACTTCATTTTTTCCCCAGAGATCCAGGCAGCAGTGCCCTACAGGAGGATGTGCGAATGGAAATACGAACCTTGTGCCACTCCCTGTTTTAAAACGTGCAGTGACCCTGAAGCTCTCGCGTGTAAATTTCTTCCACCGTAAGTCATGTTTAACCACTAATGAACAGATTAGAATCTGCACTAGCAGATTCTGTTCCCAGTGATTATTTTTTTTAGATTAAACACATTCTCAAGAATAATTTATTCTAGTTCCTCATTCATGAATTTGTTTCATTTTATTCAAGCAGTAGTTATTGAGAGTCTGCTCTATGCCAGCAATTCTTGTAGCTGCTGGGATACAGTATTGAACAAAGTATTTATCTATCTTTAGCTTAAGCATTTTGCTGCACTGAGGCAAAGAATAAAAATTTAAAATGTAAATATATAATGTGATCTATTGTTTAGATGGATGTATAATGGGCAAAAATAAAGGAAGGGAAAAGGGAGCATAAAACAGGTATGTGTGTTTGCTAATTAATATATGGTGGTCAGGGAAGAACATGTTGACAAGGCAACATCTAGTAAGAGATGTGAAGGAAGTGAGGGAGCTAGCCATGTGGATGTCTGGGGGAAAAGCCTTTCAATCTGAGAAAAGTATGAAGGTCCAGGGTGGGAATATGTCTGGTGTGTTTGGGGATGGGCACGGAGGCTAGTTAATTGGGGCAAAGTGAACAAAACTGAGAGACATAGAAGAAGCTGGGGAAAGTGTCTGGCAAATCATCTAGGGCCTTGTAGCCTGTCGTGAGGACTTTGTCCTTTTCTCTGAGTAGTGTCCTGGTGTGTTTCGGGGCAGCGGAGCGGACACGGTCCTTTCACAAGTTTACACTGGCTGTTGCACTGACTTTGGGGAAAGGGAGAACAAGGGCAGAAGTGGGCAGTGACACAGACAGGACGTGAAGGGAATTTCACTGGGCTGGTAGCCCTGGAGGTTATGGGGGAAGTGAACAGATTCTGCCTGCATCTTGAATTTAAGCCCATAGGGGTGTTGATAGATTTAACATCAATTATGAGAGAAAGAGGCTTCTTCAGTGGCTCAGTGGTTAAGAATCCACCTGCGATGCAGGAGATGCGGCTTTGATCTCTGGGTTGGGAAGATCCCCTGAGGAGGGCATGGCAACCCACTCCAGTATTCTTGCCTGGAGAATCCCATGGACCAAGGAGCCTGGTGGGCTGCAGTATACAGGGTCGCGAAGAGTCCGGCACGACTGAAGTGACTGAGCATGCATGCATGCCCATGAGCGAAAGAGGAGGTGAGGACCCAGCTCAGGTCTCAGCATTTCATTGATTTCAGAGTCATATGAAATTGCCATCTTTGTGGTCAAATCTTTTCAAATATCAACAAACTCAAATGATTCAATTTAATGGAAGGACTGAGTTGCCAGTTACCGAGATAAGGAAGATATTAGGAGGAGCAGTTTAGGGAGAAAGTCAGGAATTTGGTTTCAAGGATTTTAAATTTGAGACTGAAAATTATTCTTTGGATTTGGTAATCTGGAGAATAGGAAGAGGCAAAATAGAGATTGACAGTGTAACAGCTTTTTTTTTTGTTTTAAAGCAGTTTTTTGTTGTAAAGGAGAACAGAAAAATGCAACAGTAGTAGGAGGGAATATTTTTAAATGAATCATATTCCATTAGTCATTTATGAGCTTCTGTTCTACAACATATACTGGTACTATAGAAGGTTCTGGCATATGAATAAGTGGGATGCAGTCTCTATTTCAAGGAGCTCAAAGTCTTGAGGAAGAAGACAGGAACACTAGCAGATAACTGACAGTGTGGGGAGAGAGGCCCGGAGGAATAAATGCCACAAGCACAGCACATTGAAGTATTTATATATAACACGACGCTCACTGTGCTAAGTGCTACAAAATGGGCAATCGCATTGTTCCCGTTGTCAGAAGAGAAAACAAACCAAGGCACAGAGAAGTTAAGCAGCTTGCCTCAGACCACACAGCTTTCAGGCAGCTGAGCCAGAGTTTGAACGACATCCTGTCTGGCAACATGTGCAATGGGAACAGAGAGAAGGAAATGATCAGTTCAGTTCAGTTCAGTTCAGTCGCTCAGTCCTGTCGGACTCTTTGAGACCCCATGAATCGCAGCACGCCAGGCTTCCCTGTCCATCACGAACTCCTGGAGTTCACCCAAACCCATGTCCATTGAGTCGGTGATGCCATCCAACCATCTCATCCTCTGTCGTCCCCTTCTCCTCCTGCCCCCAATCCCTCCCAGCATCAGGGTCTTTTCCAATGAGTCAACTCTTGGCATCAGGTGGCCAAAGTAGTGGAATTTCAACTTTAGCATCAGTCCTTCCAATGAACACCCAGGACTGATCCCCTTCAGGATGGACTGGTTGGATCTCCTTGTAGTCCAAGGGACTCTCAAGAGCCTTCTCCAACACCACAGTTCAAAAGCATCAATTTTTCGGCACTCAGCTTTCTTTATAGTCCAACTCTCACATTCATACATGACCACTGGAAAAACCATAGCCTTGACTAGATGGACCTTTGTTGACAAAGTAATGTTGCTGCTTTTTAATGTTCTGTCTAGGTTACTTTTGTTTATTTTCTTAAAAATGAAAGCAACCAGTTCTTTCTGAAAATAAGCCTTCACCATTCACTTGGACCCTTCACATTCACAAGCCTATTTCCTGTCTCTGCTGGGAGCCATTAGCAAGTGGGGAAACAACAGGGCCTTCATAGGGAGGAGAGTATGCTGGGGAGGAAGGGATAAAAGAGAGACGAACAAGGCCATCCCTGGAACTGGGAAGGAAATGGAGCTATATTTGAAGTAGCATTTAGCTAGTTCGTTTCTTGTGGCATATACAGTCTCCAGGGTGGTTGAACCCAGACATTCAGTGCTTGCACTGTTTAGTCTATAGTTCCCCCAGAATTTCTGCTTTGGTACGGTTAGAGCGCGGAGCAGAGACTCAGGATGAAACTTCACCCCTGCCAAGCCAGTTCTCATCTCTGTTTTCATCACCGTTTCCTTTCTGCTGCACCCCTTTTCCTGGCTGAGGCACCTCACTGTGGCTGCTCCTGGTCCTTGCAGTCCTGCGAGGAGACCCAGGCCCTGGGTTGGCATGTCAGCATCGCCCGCACACCTCCTCCAAGTCCCTAGCAGAACCACCACGCTGGTTCTAGAGGATTTCCGTTTCTGGCACATAGCAAGTGTTGAAAATAAAAATATCTAGTGGAAATGAGAACTTTCATAAGAAAATATGCCAACTAGCATAGCCTAGAGCCCATATGTAAGTAGAGCTATTCCTATTACATAATATACCTATTATAAGAACTGTTCTGCATCTGAGGCATGTGTATCAGTCAGAAGTTGACTAAATTACCAGTTGTATGACAGAATAAAGAGAACCCTGCTGTGTGCAACCATGAAGACATTTTAAAGGAACAAGTTACTGGGTTTTGGAAGATATTTTTAAAAGAATAGCTGTGGTTTTGACTTGCATAAAGCAATTGCAAAATAACTGAGTTGCATAAAAAAGTGGTTATTTAATTTGAGGAGAGCCGATTGTCCCTGATATTTTCAGTAATTTAGTAACTTTTTCTTATGTGCTTGACAAAATTTAGAGTAGGATAGGAATATCATATACTGGTTAAAGTTTTATTATTTAAGTTCATTTTATGAAATAAATAACTGGTCTCATAAGCTAAGCTGTTCATGTTTTTAAAAAAAATTTGTGAAGAAAGTTTCCCAGAGGCGACCACGCAGTCTCCTGTTAAAAGAGAAACTAGCTTTTCTTGGGTTCGATTTCCTTCCATGAACAAGCACCCTCTGGTGGCAACGTGTGCCCAGAGTATCAAGTTAGTTCATATCCACACTGAATTGGAAGGGGGTTGTGTGTATTTTGGGTCCAAACTTTTACTTTATAGTTAAGGCAATTGGAAATATTTTACAATACTGAGAGACTTTCCTGGATGTCCAGTGGTTAAAATTCCACTTTCAATGCAGAGCGCGCCGGTTCAGTCTCTGGTCAAGTAACTAAGATTCCATATGCCGTATAGCCAAAAAATTTTTATTTAAATAAGTAAAATATTTAAAATAGTATTATAGCCTGCTGGTGTATTTTAGAGGCAAACAAGCAAGCCTTTTAAAAACCGTATGTACATTAATTCTCTCTAGTATATGTGAGTCTAAGAACTGGCTGTACTTGAAGAACTGGCTGTATTTCTTTTCAATCAAAACAAATTGGACTCTGAGACCCACTTGAAGGAGAAGGAAGATGTAGTGTCAGTCATCATCTTGGCTTCATTCCCTTAGAGCAGAAGCATTCAGGATGGTCTCATCTGTTTTGGGCTCTTGATTCCCAAATCCATTCTTAAAACTTGGGATTCTTGAAAGTGCAATGTGCCACATAAAAGATCAGATGTTTTGGAGCTTGAAGTTCAGTCTCCTTAGGCTCATATACAACCATCTCCTCTCTGAGCACTGCCGCTATTTCAGACACAGGCCCTGAGGCTCTTGAGAGAACTGTACCCTCTGCCATCCCCCCTCTCTGTCCTCCTAGAGCAACCATGTCCTGACTCCATGTCTGCCACCCAGAGATTTCTAATTACATTCCAAAGACCTTAGGGCCTAATAATGGGCAGAGACAGCCACTGAACATTCTGATTTTGTCCCACCAACATCCTTATGAATATTCAAATAGTGTCTCTATCTTCTTATATCTGAGGTAGTGTAGGAAAATAATAGTATGATGAATATAGAGTAAAATCACAATAAAGGATTCTTCTGCATTTCCATTAATTTATAGAAATGGCCTTGGTGTGTGCCAAATTTAAGCATATGTTTTGAATGTCCTGTGTTCAGATACTGCCTCAATCATGACTATCTTGTTATCATCCACTAGCTGTGGTTTCATACAATGCAGTATGATGGAATAACAGCAAGTGGAGCCATCCTTAGTGTTCGACAAGGAGAACAGAAGAATTTTAGGAAAACTGTATCTTCAGTTCAGTTCAGTTCAGTTTAGTTGCTCAGTTGTGCCTGACTCTTTTCGAGCCCATGAACTGCAGCACACCAGGCCTCCCTGTCCATCATCAGCTCCTGGAGTCCACCCAAACTCATGTCCATCGAGTTGGTGATGCCACCAACCATCTCATC